TGACTGCATAAATCTTTACCTGGGGTGACAAGATCCAATTCCTTCCTTCATGTGAAGCAGAGGTGATCTTGGACCAACGCCATGGGGCAAATCACCCCTCCTCTGGGACTCCTCAGCGGCTACAAGGTCCAGACTCAGTGTTGCTGTGCCTTGGCAATGGCCTCTAGCCTAAGAGGCCCCTTTCCCTTCCTCAGCTCAGACACTCAAGCAGAAAGTGAGTGTGGATGCTGGCAGCTTATGTGAATCTCTCAAATGGAGGGGAAAATTAAAAACTGTTGAATAAATTCATTAAGCTAGCTAATCCAGATATAGCCTGTGTCTGTGTTACTTTCCCGGGCTGCATATGCAATCCAAATAAAATACTTACCAAACCCAGTCCCCCTTTTATGCTCATAAGGAGCATAAACTTAAACTTCATTTTTACAAGATTTATTAGCACCTAGGACTGGAAGGTAACACTAAGTAATTCACAGCAAGTGAGCATGCCCAACAGAGAAAAAAATGCCTTCTGGTTGCCCAGCTAAGAGATCTGTTTTCAGTCTCGGCTTGCTCGTCAGAAGTGCCCGCTGTTTCTTCTGACTGATAAAGTTCAGCCAGTGTCTTGGGTATGGTGACCTGCAGCTCTCAGGTAGCTGTGTGAGGTGACTCACTGTTCCTGTAAGTTGGTAGTGATGCCTGTAATCAAAGATGGCAGTACATTAGTCAGCAGTCAGTAATGCTGCTGTCACGATGAGCTGAGTGGAAAGATCTCTGGCTCAGAAATGCCAGGTGAATCCTCTAGCTCCCACCAGGATTTTCCATACACGCAGGGCCCGGGCCCCTTGGACTGACCCTGAGAACAGCAGCCTTAGCCTAAGGGGGAGTTCAGCTACTATCACTAAAACAAGCAAAATATTGAAAATTTATTTTGGAAATGCAACTGTTTTGTGAATGGATGCATACTTTAAGGTTCTGCTAGGGGATAGCACAAGGAGACCCCAGGACGAGAGGTCCTACCTCCAGAGGAGCTCTCAGGTCCTCTTCACTACAGGAGGGCCTTGAAGTCCCCAGGCACTGGCACCGATGGCCATGCCTGGTTGTGTGGAGACAGAGTCCTCAGAGCACAAGTAAAGAAGGTGACAGCCCTGTGGGCCCTTACCTGTTTGGGTCTTGGCTGCCTGCCTGCTACGTGGTGGGGAAGGCTCTCCCTTTGTGAGGACAACAGGCTGTGCATTGCTAAGCAACCAGCATTTCTGTTGTCCTGCCTGTGTTCTCCTCTCAGCCACACAGCTGATGAACAGGGGTAACACCCACTCCCAGTATCCGTACCGAATGAGAGCCCATTCCTCTACACTAGGCAGGGACCAAGGAAAGGTCCACAGACCTGATACCCCACAGATGTGACACCCAGAGTCCAGCACCTTCTGGAGAGGGCAGAAGTCCAGTGCAGGTAGTCAGTGAGTACGCACCTTCCTGCACTTCACTGTGGAGCCTGCCTAAGGGGGCTTAGCTGAAGTGGCCCATGCCCCCTAGTCTGTGTACCTCCAGACATGCCTTGGTACAAAAGCTGCATTTCCAGGCTGTCCTGTGTGCTGGGCACTGGGTCATACAGAGCAGATGGTATTAGGATTCATGTCTGTGATAAAAGTTACCATAGAAAGGGAGCTTACCTTTAATGTACCCCACATGCCAAGCACCTTTAGGGCAGTGAAGTGAGTTCAACCCAAACCTATCGAACAGCCAGTGTTTTCAGGATCAGTGTAGATGGTAGATGCCAGGGTGTGGGACTGAGCAAGAGAACCTACTGAGACATCTGGCTGTGACCCAGGACAGGTGGTCAGTCCTCCCATTAGGCACATGCGAAGCGCCACGGACCCTAGCAGGAAAGGGAGGGGCCCCCAATGGGGAGGAGGGGCCTCAGGGCTGACTTAACTATTGCTCTGATCCACTGATGGATTCAAAGTTTGAATGGAATATTGAGAAGTGGAGACTTGGAGGTGGGGCCTGGTTGGGGGAAGGAGGTCATTGGGAGGGTGTCTTTGAAGAACAGAGCTTGCCTGGACATTTTCTGTCTGCCCCTCTCTGCTTCCTGGCCATGGTGAGGTGAACCCCTTTGCCACACACGTTGATTCTCTGCCTTGTCCCGGGCCTAACACAAGGGAATCAGCCAGCCACGGATTTAAATGTCTGAAACCATGGGTTAAGATGTCTTCCCTTTCTCAACAATGTCTCCCAAATATTTATCGTGCAACTGAGAAAATCACTTGCAAATACACCTCAAAAAAGTGTGTTGGAGGCCTGCAACCAGTTTGTCTCTGTTTGATAAAGGTGGAGCATTCTCAATAAATGGAATTAGAACTCACCGAGCTAAGCAGCGTGAAGCACAGAGCGGGTTTCAGAGACCAGACAGCAGGAGGCGAGGAGGCGCCCAGAGGTTAGAGACCGCATGTTCCGGAGAGGCCTGTGAGAGGGAGGCCAGGAGTCCCAGAAAAGGCACAGGCACTTCAATTCGTTTTTGGAATACTGAAAGTGCAATGTGCCCTTTTAGGTAGAAGGGTAGTCTTTCACACATGCATGAGGTCAAACATGGACACCACTCAAGGCACTGATGTTTCTGTGGAGAAACTGGCTGCTGCAGGGCGGAAGCTCCTCTCCCAGCATCTAGTAACAGGCTTCCCTAGAACGGCCCCTCTACTTCAGGCCCCAATATTTTACCCCTCTGTTCACTGACGACTGAAGCTCATGGTGTTCAGTTACATGGTTTCCTGGTTTGGTTGATCCCAGTCAACCAGAAAGCCTCCTAGTGTTGCCAGTCTTTAAATCAGAGAATGCGCTAAGGAGATAAACTGTAAGTAACAAGAGTGCACTGCCAGTCCGCTCGAGAGCTATCGGGAGGAAGACAGAGCTGGTTGCTGCCATGCAGAGCTCTGGCCTCTGGGTGCCACGGCCCCTGCTACACCCTGGTCCAGCTGTCAATCTTCCAGGAAACCCCGCAGGCCTGTGGGCCTCCCCAGAGATGGGATATCTTGTTTTTCACTGAGTTCTTTCCCACAGGCTGTCTGCACAGAAATACATCAAAGTGTGGGAAAGCGGGGCCCTTTCCCCCTTTCTGAGCCTGCAGAGCGCATAAAACCCCATCATTATGATGATGATCTAACGACGCACCCGTCTGTGGCTTCTACAGAGTCTCGGGCTACAGCTCATTAGATGCTGTTTGTGCTCCGATTATATCAGCATGGTTAAAAACCAACAAGGATAGGACGTCACAGACTTTAAAATGTGGGTGTTAGCAATCTGTTGGCGGCATGCTGGAGGATTCTGCATGTTGTTACGTGTTCTCATGTCCATGTTAAGTGGCGGCTGGTATTTTCCTTGAGATGAGAGCTCTGACCTTACTAATTTCCCATGGGGGGGTGGGGGGAGGGCGTCCATGCTACCCAAGTCCCAGGAACACAGCAGAGCTCACCTGCATCTGCATCCTGTCTCCTGCAAGCAGTGGCAGGCAAACCGCTCTGTTTAGTCCCCAAGATCTGGGTTCACATCATCCTCCAAGGTGGGCCTTGCCCAGGGTTAGCAGGGGTTCCTAGTGTGGCATTCCCCAGTGCAACACCGTGGTGGCTGTAGTTCCACCTCCCCTCCTAGGTCCTGGCGGTCGGGGACATCTGTTTTTATGTGGTGGTCTGGCCTCCACCACTGGGAACCTGTGAGCCCCAAGGTCCCTTACCTGTTAGAGACCGACTCATAGCCCCGCCCACAAACCAACCTGAAGAACTCAGGCTCCCTCTGGAGGAAGCTGCTGGAAATGCAAGTTGGAGAGCATGATGCTCCGTGGTTGGTGCTTCGTGCTCATGATGTCCACAGGAGGTCCCTGCGCTCTACTGTACTGCGCATCAGAGGTTTACCAAACTAGAAGGAAAACCACATTTGGAGTCAGTGGCGAAGCTGACAACTGTGGCTCAAAATAAAGTTTTTCGAAATTTTGAAAGAATGCTGACTGCCAACACTGACAGACGCAGCTCAAGGGAGCAGCAAGATTTCAGCCCCTCGTGGTGGGGAAGGATTGGGGGTGTGAGGCAGCTGCTTGTGTGGCACAGACAAGACCACAGCTAGCGGTGGGCACCGCCTTCAAAGGCCCACTCCCAGTGGCCCACTTCTGCCAGACAGACCCCGTTAGAGACCCTGGAACCTTCAAAACAGCATCCCAAGCAGGGGAGCAGGGGACGGAGAATTTAAAACACGGAGGGGACATTTCGAATATAGCAATGTCTATGTAGAATGAAGCTGGTGGTACTGGAAGTTGTGTTTACTGGGCTGTTCCATCTAAACTCAGGCACAAGAGGAGGCAGATTGGGTGAACAGAATCTCAGTTCCTACCCTAAGTGGGAGAACTGTTAACAGTTTCATGTTATGCCTGTAACAATGAATTTGCATGTTACATGCACACCACACTATGCACAGTACGGTTTTTTGATCTGAGTAATACGCACTCAGCTTAATCCCTTATATTTATATCAGTGTCAATGAATATAACCGATGCTTCAGGACCTCTCTGAGACTGCAGACAAGCACTCCAGGCTGCATGGCTTTTTAGGCTATTTGTGTCTTTCATTACAATTTTATCAAGTTCTAACATCATCTTGTCAACTTCTCATTAGTTCATCTAGTGGGTTATAGGCTAGAGTCTAAATATATAGCTACATCTATTACACATACATGTGTGCACACAAATACATAAACACACAAGACACATATACCATACACATATACACATGTACATACACACAGACACACATAGAGACACACATACATATGCACATACACCACACACACATGCAGTTACTGGCTGAAGTATAGGGTAAAGGTCTAAGGCAGACTCTGTAAATGCCAGGGTCTGTAACATTTGTTTGTGTGAAAAATGGAATTTTATTTGGGGTTTGGGGGTTGAGTTTGCCATGACTGCTGGCTTCTGACCTAGATAAGTGGGGTGCTGTGAAAAGAGGGGAGAATGGCGGGAATGAGCGATGGGAGGGGGTTACACGGATGATGTGCTCGGTGCTTCTTATTCAGGATTGATACAGAAAAAATGTGCCCAGATTGGGGCGATGGCTGCTTACATCCCTAGAATCCACAAAAAAGTCAAGTGAGTGTGGCGGCTCGGGTAATTCCAATGCATAGGCGGCAGAGGCAGGGACTCCCCAGAGCAAGCTGGGGAACGAGACCAACTGCAACCGCAAGCTCTGGTTTTAGCAAGAAACTCTACTCGACTGCTGAGAATAATCTGGAACGCAACCAAGGAAGACACCTGGCGACAGCCTCAGGCCTCCACACATGCGAACACACACAATTCTATGCACCCCCAACTGAACACATATACACATGTGCACACATACTACACATAAGCATATGCACAAAATGTACAAAATACCTTACTCCAGTAATTCACAGGCAGACAGGAGCCCTGTGTTCAGCCCTCTGCATTCTTCAGCTTTCTGGCCCCTCCGTTACCCCATCACGTACAGGGCACCTGATGTAGGAACATGGAGGGTAACAAGGCAGGCTGGCCTCGTGCTGCAGTGGGTGAGGCAGCTAAGGAGCCTTATCCCCAGACCCTAACCCTGAAGGGGATCATGAGGGAGAGCACAGAGACACCTAAAAGAACGCCCTGCAGCCCCATCCCAGTCCCTCCTGCAGAGAAGCCTTTCATCTCATTAGATGGACCCCCACATTACCAAGCCAGCAGTAGCTATCTCGCAGATTAGCTCGCCCAGTCTTTCTGGAAACTTGCGTGTGAGGTCACAATGCTGAGCGTGTCCCTTTTTCTACCCATGTCCAAGCCAGTCAGCACAGATGAGCATTCTCTCGTGCTGAGCTGGCTGAACTGGAACTCATCACACAGGGAATAAAATGAAACAGAAAGCGTGATTTCTTCATAATTCCAGAAGACATGGGATGCTGTACTACAAGAAATGGTCTGTTACCAGATTTGCCAGCACACATGCAAGGCGTTTGCTGGATAGTGTAATCTGCCCCAACACACTGGTGCCCAGCAAGACCAGATTGCTGTCAGTCCTGGCTCTGCCCGGCATTTGCATCTATCAAAACCAGGCTCAATGTCTTCCTGGGAAGATGATTTTAAAAACCCAAATCTTACCAGTGGGAGAACACTTTCCAAGGGTGGGTTACGTGACGAAGCACTGCCCATTTCCTGGTGGTAGAAATAAAGCATTTGGATGGGCTGTGGGGACCAAACCCAGGTCTCCCCTAGTCTAGGGAGCGCTACAACCTGCCAAATAAATGCATTGAATTTTTATTGCATTTATTTATTCGTGTGTGTGTGTGTGTGTGTGTGTGCGTGCGCGTGCACACTAGGCACCTGTGTGGAGGTCAGAGAACAACTTACAGGAGTCAATTTTCTCCTTACACCATGTGGGTTCCAGGGATTGTGCTCTGGCTGTCAGGCTTGGCAGCAGGTACCTTAACCTGCTGAGGCATCTTGCCAGCCCAAAGAAAAGCATTTTTATCCTTCATGATTGCCTGTGATGTTCCCTCTGTGTATACACACCACAATATACACCACACACAACACAGACCACAAACACGCCACACACAAATGCACTAACACACATCCACTGCTTGAAATGCCCGTTAATACCATTAAACTCGGTTTGAAAACATCACTCTGAGCTGTGAAGATTGGTTTTCTTGGTAGCCACACCAACCTATTACTCTGTTCTTTGTCAAAGAAGAAACCACACGGGAACTGTGCATGCTACGCTGCTGCTGGGCATGCGCCACCCTAGCCTAGGACCCTTGCTACCACAAGCTCACGGAACACTGGGTCTCACAGTTGCAATGAGGGTCACTTGGAAACACACGATCCCCATCCCCTTCTGAGGACTCTTCCCAGGTTCGGAGCTGGAAGAGAGGTGGGTAAGCAAGCAGGGTAACCCACACACACATTCTCTTTTCCTCCCCCTCCCTCCATCCCTGGGTCCTCCTTCCCTCCTTCCTCCCTCTCTCCCTCCCTCTCTCCCTCCATCCATCTCTGACTCCTCCTTCTCTCCTCCTCCCCTTTCTCTCTTCTTTCTTCTTCCCTCCCTCCCTCCCCTTTTCCTTTCTCCCTCTTAAAACTTGCTTCACTGAAAGAGTATCTGTCAGAATTCACTCTTTTTGTATCAATCAGATACTCTTAATTACCACAGAATTTCCAGCCACTGTGTTATTTATGTCATTCTATGATAAATTATGCATAAGTGACCCTACCATTGTCAAAAACATTAAAATGGACTTAACTGGGAATTTCTGAAGTGCTGTTTGACACTTGTGCCCTCCTTTCAAGGTCATAGAGACTCTATGCTTCATGGTCAGCTACAAGTTTCTCGAAAATGACTCCATTTCCCCTCTTTGAAGTTCAAATGTCTTTCAAATCTATATTTTCTCCACTTATCTTTCAAAATAGGAGGCACGATCCTCACATTATCACTTCATGTGAGACAGGTTCTCACTATGTAGCCCTGGCTGGCCTGGAACTCAATACATAGACCAGGTTGGCCTCACACTTGCAGGATTCTCCTGCCTCTAACTTCCAAGTGCTGAGATAACAGGCATGCACCACCACCCGACTCATTGTCATTTTTTATTTGGATGGGTATTTTAAAATTTAAGGTTTTTTTCTCAATTATTTTCCTATAAATTACCAGTTACCTGAAGGGTCCATTTCCCTGGGCACTAAAGTAGGTGTCTTGGAAACTCATGGATTATATAGCATTGTATCAACCGTGTGTGCCTCTGTGTATGTGTGTGTGTGTGTGTGTGTGTGTGTGTGTGTGTGTGTACACAGAAGCACAGGCAGGGTGCTCCCATGTATGGGGAGGCCAGAGGTGTCTGGGTGTCTTCCTCCATCACTTCTGACTTATTTTTTGAGACAAGTCACTCACAGACCTGGAACTAACTTAGTAGGCTGAGCTCAGGCCAGCAAGTCCCAGCTCTGGAATTATAACCATGCACTGTTGCACTGGGCTTCTTTTTTTTGTTTAATATTTTATTATTTTTATTTTATGTGTATGAGTGTATTGCCTATATATAGGTAGGTGCACCTGTGTCATGTAGTGCCCTCAGAGGTCAGAAGAGGGTGTCAGATCCCCTGGAACTGGAGTTAGAATTGTTAGCCACCATGTGAGTGCTGGGAATGGAGCCTGGATCCTCAGCCAACGCTCTTAACTGTTGAGCCGTCTCTCCAGTCCCTCACTGGCTTCCTACATGACTGTCGGGGATCCAAACTCAGGTCTTCACACCTGTACAGAAAGCACTTTGCGGACCGAGCCATTTTCCCATCCCTCAACCTTCTTTTTACTATATCTGAATTTACTTAGCTATAACAATTTTGACATTCCTTTATTCGTTACTAATTACACCCACTTTTTATGCCAACAATGCTACCCACGGGGCGGGCCTATGATGACTGTCTGATCTGCACAGTTTGGTGGTATGCCTGCCAACGATTTTCAGGCTGTCACCAGTGGGATACAGCATGCGGGTAAGGAAAGAAATGGCCAGGAAGGGCCCCAGGTGTGGAGAAGGGCCCCACTGGGAGGTGCTGAGGAAACCCCATTGCTGCTCGTTGGAAGCTCTGCTATCTAACCCCGTGTTGGTGCTCAATGTTTAGAAAAGAAAGTCTTTGAGGACAGAAGATGAAGCCTCCAGGGCCACCTTGAAGCCTCTGGTAGTCCGTGTGGAGAACAGCACACCAGAAGTTGTGCAGAGTGTCCTCCTGGAGCAAGGGTGGGACAAATTTGATGAGCAGCGGCAGGATGTGGAGGACTGGAACCTGTACTTGAGGACTTCCTCCTTCCAGATGGTGGAGCATGCCAACATCAAGCCCTGGCAGAGGCTCAACCACCATCTGGGGACAACCACGCTCACCAGAAAGGACCACCTGGTCAAGCCTGGCAGACATGAGGAGGCTCTACGGCAAGTCTCTCTACGAGTTCACACCCCTGACATTTGTCATGCCCAGTGACTATACCAAGTTCGTAGCTGAGTACTTCAGGGAGAAGCAGGTGCTGGGTGCCAAGCCCAGCTACTGGATCTGCAAGCGGGCAGAGCTGTCTCGTGGGCGGGGGATAATCATTTTCAGTGACATTCGAGATCTCATCTTCAAGGGCAGGTACGTTGTGCAGAAATACATCTGCAGCCCTCTACGCCTGGGTGGGTACAAGTGACCTCCGCATCTACCTCTGCGTCACTGGCTTCAAGCCTTTGACTGTTTCATGTATTGGGAAGGGCTGGTGTGGTTTGCCACAGGAAAGTTTGACCTCAGGAGCTTGCAGGGCTACCACTCCCTTTTGACCAACAGCAGCATTAACACATCTGGGCCCTCATATCAGAAGATCAAAGAGGTGGTGGGTCAAGGCTGCAAGTGGACGCTCAGCAGGCTCTTCGCCTGCCTTCGGAAGAGGAACGTCCATGACCTGCTTTTGTGGCAGAAGATCAAGCGCATGGTGACCCTCACAGTCCTGGCTGTGGCTCCGTCAGTCCCCGTGGCGGGCACCTGCTTTGAGCTCGTTGGGTTTGACATCCTGATCGACGACAACCTGAAGCCGTGGCTGCTGGAAGTTAACTACAGCCCTGCCTCGTCTTCACGGTTCCACAGACGTCTCTGTGAAGAGAAGCCTCATCCACGATGTTATTGAACTGGTTACGTAAAGAGGAGAAAAGGTGCGGTAGAGCCAGCACAGGAAGTCCCAGGGTGCCCTTTGCCAGGATCAATCGACGTGAACTCCACGCAGCCCCAGGCTCTCTTCCCCACACCTTTCTTACAGTTTGCAACCAGAGCGCACAGTAAAAACGAGCTTTCCCCAAGCAGCACGAACTTCCCAGCTGAGAGAAATAATGAACAGGCAAAAGGACTTAGCTTCGACGAGAGGCACAGCCGAAAGCGAGCCTGGCACGCACCTTGCAGGTACTTTACCCTACGCACAGCTGGCTGCTCAGTCGCTGCCCCGCAAGACCAAGGGCTCTGCGGGTGCCCACCCAGACACCGCCAAGGTGCCAGACGCCCACGCGGGGAACTGTGTTCTAATTTTCCCTTTCAACGAGGCCACTTTCGGAGCTTCCAGGCATGGATTAAATGTCAAAAGAATAATCCCAGAGCTCCAGAAACTAAGGAATAAACAGCTCTGAAACGGCAAAAACTGAAACCAGAAGTGGGACGGATTCTTGAAAACTAAGGGCTTCTACCCCAGAGGGAGTAAAGGGCGAAGCCCCTACTGTGTGCCTCCAGCACCCAGCCCAGTCACTGGGGCAGAGTTGTGGCCACAGACGGGCGCAGTCACACTGCCAGGGTGCTTGCTATCAAATGATCACATTACATTGTCACACGTTAGCTTGCTCACATTTCTTGAAATGATAGCAGCGGCCCTACCCTAATTTATAGGTATGCATTATTACAACCATACCATGAATCCATGGTAACAAGAGAAAAACAACATTTTAAGGGATTATTGGGTAAAATAGTACAAAAATGCCAGAAATTATCTTTTTGTTGTTGTTAAAATTATTTTACTGGGGACAGGGAGACAGGTCAGCTAGTACAGTGGTTGGCACACAAGTGTGAGGACCTGAACAAGATCCTCAGCAGCCACAGAGGAAGCCAGGCATGGTGGCACACATGCATAACCCCAGCACTGGGGAGGCTGACACGGGCAGATCCTTGAGGCTCGCTGGCTAGCCTGCCCAGCTGAATGAACGAGCCCCAGGTCCCAGTGAGAGACTCTGTCTCAAAAAGCAAAGTGGGTGGCTCCTAAGGGACACCACCCAAGGCTGACCTCTTGTCTCCACATACATGTGCACACACATGCACCTGAACATGAACACATAGAAAACGACAAGTTATTTCATCAGTGTAAAAACTCATTTAGAGTACAATGAATAACAGAAGACTCAGATGATCTATTTATAGATCCTGTGCTCTAAATCAGATGTTACAGCAAATAGTTGTCCACCTCCCCATCCCCTGCCCTTTCCCAGCCGCCCAGGACATCCGTCAGCCTCTTGGCAAGACCTGTTACTTACTACCACCCAGCACCTGATGACAGAACCTTCTAGTCAGACAGGTCGCCGCCCTGACAGATGGAACGGCGTCGGGTTCCAGGAGCTCCTCAAACACTGTGGTGAAGCAGCCAGCCACATAGGCCGATTCATAGGCTTGTGCATGTGGAATGCCACCTGCAAATCCACGGAGAGCAGGTTGTGTGAGTTACTCTTATTCCTGTGACAGAACAAACAACATAATGGGGTTTGTTTTAGCTCCAGTCTGAGGGCACAGTCCATCTGGTGGGGAAGGTGTGGTGGGGGGGAAGTGTGGTGGTGGGGAAGTGTGGTGGGGAAGTGTGGTGGTGGGGAAGTGTGGTGGTGGGAAGTGTGGTGGTGGGAAGTGTGGTGGTGGGAAGTGTGGTGGTGGGGAAGTGTGGTGGTGGGAAGTGTGGTGGGGGGGAGGGTGGGGGGGGGGAGGGGGGGGGGGG